TTTGTGCTTGCTATGGAGGGGGGTTGAAGGGCGAGGCGGACAACATCCGCCTACAGCAGTGAAGGACTTCCGACATGCGAGGATACCCTGACAACACGTTTTCGTTGTTTACCTCTCCTTCGTGTTGTTGATAGAACGGCTGTAATATGTTCTTTTCGCTTGTGGGCAGGCGTGGGCCTTTCGTGAGAAGTGGCACATTGCGTGCCCCGGTTACTCCGTAGATCAACCAGTGCTCCAGATGAAGTTATAGAAAGAGATTCCCGGTACCACCCGAGTTGGTACCTCCGGCAGGGGAGGGGGGGGTACCCTAAAAGCTTGCTTGCTGCTGTCACCGCTGGTCGTGTCTCCTCCACATTCTAGGAGCAAGTTCTTTGGCACTGCTGCTCTTCTTGTTCGGCTGTCCTAAGATGGTGGAGGGAGGTCGGTCGACTAATCGCATAACACTACTGGCATGCGCTGGTACAAGCAACGAATGGCAACACGACACGTAACACCGTACGCATGCAACCAAAACCCTTTTTTTTTCGTTTTCGAACCCCAAGAATACGTTTCCGCCAAACTTTCCTGCGCCCAGGGAAAGCTTATGGAGGCCGAGCCGCTGCACAAAAGGGCGCTCGATATCGCGCGAAGCACCACCGGCCCCGGCCACCCCACGGCCGCCTACTCTCTTCACGGACTAGCAGTCTTGGCACAGGCCCGAGGTATACCTAAGTTTTTATCCTAGCCAGGAGGAGCCCAGCGTGTCATGCGTTCTGTACGAGTGCTGGTTGTGGCGTTGAGGGGATATTGCGCTCGTTGGACCGTTACGGATGTTGGAGGGGTGTTGGCACCGCCATGGTATATTTTGTGTTATTGCTGACTACTGCTCGTGTGTCATGCGTGCCGCCTTGTCTCTCGCAGGGAGGTTCGATGAGGCGGAAACGCTGTTCCGAGAAGCCCTGGGGATCAACGAGCGGGCCCACGGGAATCGCCACCCGGAGGTGGCCTCCTGCCTCAACAGCCTCGCTGCCCTCCTGCAGGTGCACTAAAATCTACCTTGGCTTCATATTTGTGGTACAGTAGTACGTGTCCCGATATAGTACCAGCATGTGCCCAGAGACTTGAGCGGCACTAATGGGAGTGGACAATCGTGGCCAGAAGGTTGGCCGGCACTATGCCGAGCATCGGCACTGCATACTGTACAGGCAGGGTGTTGTTGGTGCGACTGCTTTCTCGTTGGCGCTGTTGTTGCCGGCTGTATCGCTGCGGATGGTTGTTTTTTCATTGGCTGAACATCGACGTGTTGCGCTCGAGCCCCTGGCGTACCCCATACGGCGTCCGGCGTGTCGATGTCTCGGACTGTCCTCTGCCAAGCCGTGGCGGTGGGTAGCTAGCTCGGTCGTGCCTGCCACGTTCGACTTGTACTCCCGTTGAGCAAGGAGGACGGTGCCCGCCCTACACACACTCACACACAGGCTCGAGGAAGCTACGACGAAGCAGAAATCCTCTTCACGAGAGCGCTGGAAGTGGACGAGGTGAGAGCGACTCTGCGATGTTTGCCGAGTGGAACTGGCAAAGTGTGCTTGTTTCGTGTGAAACGAAACCGAGCGACAACGGTCCGGCTCCACGTTTGGTTGGTGTTTTGTTTGCCGTGGTAGGCTCATACGGGCCACGTTCTTACGATCTACGCTAGGGCAGCCTTCTAAGCGTAGGTGTGTGTCAACAGTGTTGGTCCGAGGCCTGGACTGTAAGGTACCGCACCTCTACAGAACGCGGTTTATGAACCCCATCCCGTGTGCTTGGTCCGACGTGCGGGCCGTGTTAAGCGTCTTGCCGCTAGTTTCTGACGTGCTTCCACACAACAGGGCTGGACCATCACGCCTTTGCTAGACAAAATAACAAATTTTAAGAAAAGGTGGCGAAAAACGAGTAAATTAATATAACAGCAGTGGCGCAACGTCGCGTCGCGCACTGACGTGTTGTTCACGGCGTTGCACCGATCGCGCGGTGCCGGCCCGTGCTACAGGCGTGTTTTGGGTTGGAGCACCCCCGGGTAGCGGCGGGTTTGCACAACCTGGCGGCGTTGCTGCAGGCACAAGGGAAGCACGAGGAGGCTGACAGGCTACAAAGGTGAGCTTTTTTTCGTTCGGCGTGTCGGTCAAGGGTGAAGACGCTTTCGTGTAGACGATCTACCGTTGTTTGGAACATCCGAATTGCAGAAGCCACAAGACAGTGCAAGACTTGTTTGCTTCAATTTTCTTTTTC